TGTTTGGTGCTTATTTATTAAGTGTGACTGTGAAATAAGCTACCATGGTGGTGATGGTGGTGGTGGTGGAGGATGGTGGTGGATGGTGGTGGTTGTGGATGGTATTGGTGGATGGTGGTGGTGGATGGTGTGGTGGATGGTATTGGTGGATGGTGGGGTGGTGGATGGTATGGTGATGTGGTGGTGTGGATGTATTGTGGATGGTGGTGGTGGATGGTGGTGGTGGTGGATGGTATTGGTGGATGGTGGGTGGTGGATGGTATTGGTGATGGTGGGTGTGATGGTGGTGGTGGATGGTATTGGTGGTGGTGTGATGGTATTGGTGGATGGTGGTGAATGGTGGTGGATGGTATTGGTGGTGGTGGTGGATGGTATTGGTGGTGGATGGTGGTGGTGGTGGATGGTGGTGGTGGTGGATGGGGTGGTGGTGGTGGGTGGTGGTGGATGGTGGTGGTGGTGTGGTGGTGGTGGTGGGTGGTGGTGGTGGTGGTGGTGGTGGTGGTGTGGATGGTGGTGGTGGTGGTGGTATGTGGATGGTGGTGGTGGTGGATGGTATGGTGGATGGTGGTGGTGGTGGATGGTATGGTGGTGGTGGTGATGGATTGGGTGGATGTGGATGGTATGGTGGATGGTGGTAATGGTGGTGGATGGATGGTGGGTGGTGGATGGTGGTGGTGGATGGTGTGTGGTGGATTGGTGGTGGTGGATGGTGGTGGTGTGGTGGTGGGTGGTGGATGGTGGTGGTGGATGGTGGTGTGGTGGATGGGTGGTGGTGGTGTGTGGTGGTGGTGGATGGTGGTGGTGGATGGGTGGTGGATGGTGGATGGTGGTGATGGTATTGGTGATGGTGGTGGGTGGATGTATTGGATGGTGGTGGTGTGGTGATGGTATGGTGGATGGTGGTGGAGGTGGATGATTGGTGGATGGTGGGTGGATGGTGATTGGTGGTGGATGTGTGGATGGTGATGGTGGTGATGGTGGTGTGGTATTGGTGGTGGTGGTGGATGGTATTGGTGGGATGGTGGTGGTGGTGGTGGTGGTGGTGTGGTGTGGTGGGATGGGGGAGTGTGGTGGATGTGGTGGTGGTGGGTGGTGGTGGGTGGTGGTGGTGGTGGTGGTGGTGGTGGATGGTGTGGTGGTGGTGAGTGGTGGTGGTTGGTGGTGGATGGTGGTGGTGGTGGTGGTGGTGTGGATGGTGGTGGTGGTGGATGGTGGTGGTGGATGGTGGCTGGTTGTGAGGGAGGTTAAGGAATGGTTGTGATGTGGAATGTGGTGTGGATGGTGGTGATTGGTGCGAAATGGTCCATGGTATGTTGGAAAAGCTGGTCTGCTGCATGTTATGGCAGACATGGTCGATTGTGGTGGTAATTGTAAGGTGGTGGTAATGAGTATAAGGCTGGATGGTACTGAGGTGTTGGTGATGGAGTGGATGTGTGCTGTAAGAAATTGTGGTGGTGGATGTATTGGTGAATTGTTGAGGATGCTAAATCTTCAATGGAAAGGTAAGTAAAAATGTATTGGTGATTATGGATGGTTGATGGTGAAATGTCTGATGTTGGATGCTGATTAGTGAATTTGAAACTGAGTGGTATTGTTGTGTGTATTACCTATCTTTAAGTATTAAAGAGAAATTTGTGTCTATGTGAATAGTGCAGGCATTTCTGGAAAAGTTAATGTATTTACATGTATCTTAAATGCAAATATTGCACAAGTTTCAAATGTTTTGATTTAAAGAAAAGTAACTCCAATAAAACTGTTTACTTAAGTTTTGAAATCGGGTTCCACTTCAAATCAATATTGCTTCTTTCCTATCTTCCAGAATTTCATCACATCTTCATAAAGTAACAAAAGATTTACTGTTATGCAGACTACTTCATTATTGTAATAACTGTATAAATAATGTCAACCCACTTGTGACTGCGTATTAGACCAGCCAGTTGAACACATATTGAATGGTGACGTCATTTGTTTACTCTTGAATGCTGGCAAAAATCAAACATTTCCACTACTTTGAGCTCACTTTTAAGGTACTTTCCAGAGTAAAACCAATCAAAATTATATCTATTTCTGTAATATATCCTCTATCAAATGAGACCAAAAAAAAACAAGAATACAACCATACAAACCATATGAAAATACACCACAAAGTCTCTGTTTTACACCAAAAGCTCAGTCGCCTTTTTCTCATTATGCACTACGTGCGGCAGGATTTTTTTTTATATAGTGCACACTTACCACACAGACCAATTCTCTCATATGTAGGCCCAAATTTACCTGTCACAGCTTATCTGAGTGAGCTGAGCTCATGGCGACCAACAGTGACTTCAAAGCCAATACAGTGGACCCCCGCATAACGATATTAATCCGTTCCTGAGAGCTCATTGTTATGCAAAATTATCGTTATGCGAATGAATTTTCCCCATAAGAAATAATGGAAATCAAATCAATCCATGCAAGACACCCAAAAGTATGAAAAAAAAAATTTTACCACATGAAATATACATTTTCCCACACACAAAGAGAAGGATACATGCACAATAGTAGAGTAGTACATGCACAGTATATATTGTGCATGTACTACTCTACTAAATGAAGAATAAATGACACTTACCTTTATTGAAGATGCAGCAATGACTGATGAGACACTGTGTCCTGGAGTGCCTTTTCCTCCTGAGTACTGTAGGTCCTGTTTGGCATTTTCTTCCAGAACAGGCCTTATCACACTGTGTATGCCACTACGATTCTTAAATCTCTCAAACCAACCTTTGCTGGCTTGAAATTCACCAATATGAGCACTAGTTCCAGGCATTTTTCCCTGTTCACCTGGGTGTTAGTCGACTGGTGTGGGTTGCATCCTGGGAGACAAGATTAAGGACCCCAATGGAAATAAGTTAGACAGTCTTCGATGACACTGACTTTTTTCGGTTATCCTGGGTGGCTAACCCTCTGGGGTTAATTGTTTTCTTGGTAATTCTCAATAAGCCACACCAACAACGGTGCTACAGCAGCAGCAGCTGACAGTGCTACAGCAGCAGCAGCTGACAGTGCTACAGCAGCAGCTGACAGTGCTACAGCAGCAGCAGATGGTGCTACAGCAGCAGCAGACGGTACTACAGCAGCAGCAGCAGCTGACGGTGGTACAGCAGCAGCAGCAGCTGATGGTGCTACAGCAGCAGCAACAGCTGACAGTGCTGCAGCAGCAGCAGATGACAGTGCTACAGCAGCAGCTGACAGTGCTACAGCAGCAGCAGATGGTGCTACAGCAGCAGCAGACGGTACTACAGCAGCAGCAGCAGCTGATGGTGGTACAGCAGCAGCTGACGGTGCTACAGCAGCAGCAGCAGCTGACAGTGCTACAGCAGCAGCAGCAGCTGACAGTGCAGCAGCAGCTGACAGTGCTACAGCAGCAGTTGACAGTGCTACAGCAGCAGCAGACGGTGCTACAGCAGCAGCAGATGGTACTACAGCAGCAGCAGCAGCAGCTGACGGTGGTACAGCAACAGCAGCAGCTGACGGTGCTGCAGCAGCAGCTGACAGTGCTACAGCAGCAGCAGCATCAGCAGTTGACCATGGTACCACAGTATTTCAATAATATTTCTCACCCTTTTTACCACAGGGTTGGCACTAGAAGCTTTCTTGGGGCCCATGGTCACTTATTTTGCAGATAAAATCACCAAAAATGCTGTAATAATACGAAATGTTCTGATTGTATGCTTGGATGTTACCGCGGAGGCTGGCTTGTAAACAATGCCACCGGCGGAACATGTGAGGCTGGCTCAGGCCTCACATAGACGCATCTCGGACGAATAGCGTTGAGCGAGTTTTTTAGCGCTATGCGAGGCAAAATTTTAGTGATAAAATGTATCGCTATGCGGATTTAACGTTATGTGATGCCAACGGTATGCGGGGGTCCACTGTATACGGTGTATGTGCTTCACACAATGAGAGGCATTTCTTTTATTCGATGGAACCATGGCTAGGGCTAAAAGTGAGCAGGTTATGACAATAAATGGAGAAAAAGGAATTTGAATGACTGATGCAGCAAGTAGCGCCACCAAACAGTAGTGGCAGGTTGGTGTGGCGACCCCGGAAATTTGAAATTATGCTAGCCGAAATTAGTACCGGATTACTGATGGAACCGGATTACTGATGGAACCGGATTACTGATAGAACCAGATTACTGACTGCCAGATTAGTGATGACCAGTATGTACTAAATTTCTTCCTCTTTTCTAATAAGTGCTAGATCCAGGATAGGTGGGTTATTTCCTTCCTTCACTTACATTTGAAAAAATAGAGAACTAAGGACAATTACAAAATCATTGAATTAGAGGAGGAATTGTGATACTTAATATGAAGTTCCAGATAAAACTGATATGGATGCCTAATAGCAAGTTGAAATGGGTCCCACAGAAATTGCCAAAGACAAAATAAAGAAGCTACTAGTGGATACTGACAAAACAAAATTCAATAGGACTAGATAAGATATTGCCCAGGGTTTTAAAGTATGTGAAAAAATTCACCTATTCACTTTAGAAAAACTGGGATTTCATTAGAATAAGTTTTTTTTTTTAACAAGTTGGCCATCTCCCACTGAGGCAGGGCGACCCAAAAAGAAAGAAAATCCCCAAAAAGAAAATACTTTCATCATCATTCAACACTTTCACCTCACTCATACATAATCACTGTTTTTGCAAAGGTGCCCAGAACACAACAGTTTAGAAGCATATACATATAAAGATATACAACATATCCCTCCAAACTGCCAATATCCCAAACCCTTCCTTTAAAGTGCAGGCATTGTACTTCCTATTTCCAGTACTCAAGTCCAGCTATATAAAAATAACCAGATATAAAAATAAGGTATGGATGGATAAATGGAAAGTGCACACAATGTACAGAAATTACAGTATGTACTGTATATTTATGGAAAATACTACACCAATGTGGGGGATACATTAATGAATGCTAGAGAGCTTTCCACAAATATGAGATATTTACCTGGTTCCTACGTGGGTAGTGGCCAATGACACGGGTAGCAACACAACAAGCTATGTCTTCCTCAGTACATGACCCAAGGCTCCACTGCTGCACATCTGTGTAGGCAAAGGGTAGATTAACACATTGATTTCACCAACAGAAGTTGAAAACTAATGTTTACTACATATGTACAGCCTCTCCTCAATTAATGACGGAGTTCCGTTCCCAAGACCACGTCAGCAAACGAATTCATTGCTAATCAAGGAGCATACTATAATGGTAGTGAGTTTGTGGCAATAACCTTTACACCATTTATAACACTTTTAGGATATTTTAAATGTTTATACAGTAGTGTACCTTATTCTGTATTAAACAGAATAGAGGAAATCAGCTCTAATATACATTATTTAATTATGCACACTGGTCAAAGAGCCTGTTGTAAATCCGAGTCATCGGTAAACGAGTACGTTGCTAAGTGAGGAGAGGCTGTATTTATGGAATCTACCATGTGCAAAGTAAATGCTATAAACCAAACTCTATCTGAGGAAACACTACAGTTAGCCCTCCATTTTCGCAAATGCCCAGCCAAATGCCCATGCAGGAAAAAAAGTATGGGAAAACTCTTCCTGCCACATCCCTACTACTCTCCCTCTAATCCCCTCAACAGGAAGCCATCCAGTCTGCCACTCACTCAGTCATTGCCCAATTACTGTTCGTGTCAGATGCATCCAGTTACTGTTCGTGTCAGATGCATCCAGTTACTGTTCGTGTCAGATGTGTCCAATTACAGTGGAACCTCTACTTACGAGTTTAATCTGTTCCATGACCTTGCTCGCAACTGGATTTGCTCGTTTGCAGAGTCAATTTTCCTCATTTAAATTAATTGAAATGGAATTAATTCGTTCCAGTGGAACTCCAGGCACGAGAAAATACTTTAATAATTTCCCTAATATCAACTCTACAGCTTATTTATCTACCACAATTCATGTAATACGACATAATAAACAATATTAATAACATAGAAACATGATATATACACTAGAATGAATAAAATACATGTCATTAGGTATGTGGCTAGTGGTGGTGACAGCAGCCATTGTTGTTGGGGTTTATAGGGCCACCACAGCGGCCATTCCTGCTCCTGACTACATGTGTAGAGAACCTAGGATAACCCAAAAAAGTCAGACAGAGTGATTTGTAAGTGCTACACTCTAAATGCTTCACTTAATTGCTACACTCTTAATGCTACACTTAATTGCTACACTCTTAATGCTTCACTTAATTACTACACTCTTAATGCTACACTTTGCCACTACTGCTTCATGTTGTCTGCCACTGCTACCTCATGATGTCTGCCACTGCTGCTTCATGTTGTCTGCCACTGCTACCTCATGATGTCTGCCACTGCTGCTTCATGTTGTCTGCCACTGCTACCTCATGATGTCTGCCACTGCTGCTTCATGTTGTCTGTCACTGCTACCTCATGATGTCTGCCACTACTGCTTCATGTTGTCTGCCACTGCTACCTCATGATGTCTGCCACTGCTGCTTCATGTTGTCTGCCACTGCTGCTTCATGTTGTCTGCCACTGCTACCTCATGTTGTCTGCCACTGCTGCTTCATGTTGTCTGCCACTGCTACCTCATGATGTCTGCCACTGCTGCTTCATGTTGTCTGCCACTGCTACCTCATGATGTCTGCCACTTCTGCTTCATGTTGTCTGCCACTGCTACCTCATGATGTCTGCCACTGCTGCTTCATGTTGTCTGCCACTGCTACCTCATGATGTCTGCCACTGCTGCTTCATGTTGTCTGCCACTGCTACCTCATGATGTCTGCCACTGCTGCTTCATGTTGTCTGCCACTGCTACCTCATGATGTCTGCCACTGCTGCTTCATGGTGTCTGTCACTGCTGCTTCATGTTGTCTGCCACTACCTCATGATGTCTGCCACTGCTGCTTCATGTTGTCTGCCACTGCTACCTCATGATGTCTGCCACTGCTGCTTCATGTTGTCTGGTACTGCTACCTCATGATGTCTGCCACTGCTGCTTCATGTTGTCTGCCACTGCTACCTCATGACGTCTGCCACTGTTGCTTCGTGTTGCTGCCACTGCTGCTTCATGTTGTCTGCTACTGCTACCTCATGATGTCTACCACTTGTGGCCAAATAACCGAACATTTCTGCTATTTTGAGCTCAATTTCAAGTACTTTTCATCGTGAAACCAATTAAAATCATATATTTTTTTGTAGTAGATCTTCCATTCTATCACATGAGACCAAATAAAACTAGAATACAACCATAAAAACCATATGAAAACATACCGCTAAGGGGAGGCTAATGGCTGAGAAGTGAACTCTGTTATTTATGGTCCGATTTCTTTCATTTTTGGTGTAGGTTAATTAAGAAGCATCTTTTCATCATACATTGCCCAAGTTTCAATAAGATAGTCCAACAAACAACTGAGATCCAATTCCCTAGATCAAGAGCAAGAGCCCCCTCACCAGTGTCAATTAACCTCCCTTGAAGTCCGCTCGCATCTGGAAGCAGAAAATCGACCGAGCAGCTGCTCGTATCTGGAAAAACTCGCACATGGATGCACTCGTAAGCAGAGGGTCCACTGTACTGTTCGTGTCCTACGGTACACGTGTGTTTGTGTGGTAGTGCAAGTACGGCCCCCAAGCAAGCAGCAACCACTATTGGTTGCTGCTCAAAGAAAGTCATGAATTGGGAGGAGAAGGTGAAATTGCTAGAGAAGTGTAGGGCAGGTTATTTGAGCAATTCTGTCACTGGAAAATTATTTAATGTAAACAAAAGCACAGTGCGTTCTATCAAGAAAAATGAGGCGACGATAAGGGCAGCACTAACATCTACTGCTCCTTCCTCAGCCAAGCAAGTATCAAAAGTAAGATGAAATCAGCATTATTTGTGCAGATTTCAGATTCGTGCAAAGGGAAAGACTTTGTATGATACATTGGCTAGTGATGAGGTTAGCACCAGTGCAGAACCAGGACATCCTACCATCACCCATTTTTGCACACCAAACATTTGCGAATTTTCAAGATTTGCGAGGTTGTTGATCCTCTAACCCTCATGAATGTGGAGGGCCTCCTGTACATTTTCCTAGTTTCTGAAAGTAACTGAGGAATATTGTTAACGATCAGCTCAAGGATATGTATTTGAATGACATCCAACAAACTCACATTCACTACTGAGATGACCTTGTAGTACTGTACAGTATTTGGCAACAATGCTGAAAATATACACCTGAACATAAAAGACAAGATGAGAGATCTTCATCAAATTTAAAATTTGACACATTCATCCAGCACATACGATATCTAAAAAGGTCTCGAAAACTCCAAGTATGCTTTCTAAAATACGTTAGTATATGCCTCAAACATCCTTATTATGTACTACTCTAATTTAATCTTGTCTCCTTTTGGGCAGTATTTGTGCATGGGGATCTACAACAGCAAATCTCATAAAACTAATATTAATTCACTAAAAATCTACTGTTATAATGATTACCCAATAAGTTAAACACACTCCTACTTTAAATTTTTTTTTTAATTTACTCAATATTCAGAAATCTGTACTTAATACTGTGCATACTACATATACAGAACAATAAATATAAGCAAAAAAAAAGCTCTAAAGCTCTTTTTAGATAGCTGCAACAAAACACAGGCACAATGAAAGAAACAAATATAAGCGGGCCCCGTTTTGCAGCACTTCATTTTAGAGCATTTCACTAATACAGCCTCGGAGTTCTGTTCCTAAGACCACGTCAGTAAATGAATTCATCACTAAACAAGGAGCATACTATATTGGTAGTGGGTTTGTGTCAACCATCTTTGACTTAATGTCACCTTTGCACCATTTATAACATTTTTAGGAAGGAGGAAAGAGGAGTGATTGGTGGAATGATGAAGTAAAGGGTGTGATAAAAGAGAAAAAGGTAGCTTATGAGAGGTTTTTACAAAGCAGAAGTGTTATAAGAAGAGCAGAGTATATGGAGAGTAAAAGAAAGGTAAAGAGAGTGGTGAGAGAGTGCAAAAGGAGAGCAGATGATAGAGTGGGAGAGGCACTGTCAAGAAATTTTAATGAAAATAAGAAAAAATTTTGGAGTGAGTTAAACAAGTTAAGAAAGCCTAGGGAAAATAGGATTTGTCAGTTAAAAACAGAGTAGGGGAGTTAGTAGATGGGGAGATGGAGGTATATGGGTAGATGGCGAGAATATTTGAGGAACTTTTAAATGTTAAGGAAGAAACAGAGGCAGTAATTTCATGCACTGGTCAGGAGGTATACCATCTTTTAGGAGTGAAGAAGAGCAGAATGTAAGTGTGGGGGAGGTACGTGAGGCATTACGTAAAATGAAAGGGGGTAAAGCAGCTGGAACTGATGGGATCATGACAGAAATGTTTAAAAGCAGGGGGGGATATAGTGTTGGAGTGGTTGGTACTTTTGTTTAATAAATGTATGAAAGAGGGGAAGGTACCTAGGGATTGGCAGAGAGCATGTATAGTCCCTTTATATAAAGGGAAAGGGGACAAAAGAGACTGTAAAAATTATAGAGGAATAAGCTTACTGAGTATACCAGGAAAAGTGTACGGTAGGGTTATAATTGAAAAATTAGAGGTAAGACAGAATGTAGGATTGCGGATGAGCAAGGAGGTTTTAGAGTGGGTAGGGGATGTGTAGATCAGGTGTTTACATTGAAGCATATATGTGAACAGTATTTAGATAAAGATAGGAAGTTTTTATTGCATTTATGGATTTAGAAAAGGCATATGATTAGAGTGGATAGAGGAGCAATGTGGCAGATGTTGCAAGTATATGGAATAGGTGGTAAGTTATTAAATGCTGTAAAGAGTTTTATGAGGATAGTGAGGCTCAGGTTAGGGTGTGTAGAAGAGAGGGAGACTACTTCCCGGTAAAAGTAGGTCTTAGACAGGGATGTGTAACGTCACCATAGTTGTTTAATATATTTATAGATGGGGTTGTAAAGGAAGTAAATGCTAGGGTGTTTGGGGAGAGGGGTGGGATTAAATTATGGGGAATCAAATTCAAAATGGGAATTGACACAGTTACTTTTTGCTGATGATACTGTG